AACCGTTATTTAGGAAAATGAAGCGACGTCAAGACACAAAACCTTTAAAACCAAACAACCATTAAAAGAATTATTTGTGATGAGTTTGCCGATATCGTACTATGAACGAATTTCCAAAAAAATCCTCTAGCGTAATTATACACAAACTTTGTCGATGAGCTGCTTGCTTCATCGAAATAAATAAAAACCAGCACAAATCCGTAAATTATTTGACTCCTTGTAAGATTTATTCTGCTTCTTGTTCAAATATATGATAGCAGATAGATAGCTCTCTTTTGAAGGTATCACGGAAGCTGGTTGCGATGCCCTGAGTGATTCCTAAAAAATAGTTCACTTTTAAACTGAGGACACGAACAGAAATTTTCTTCCTTACACTTTCTTTTCTTTTTCTCGTAATTTAATTCAAAATTATGTAAGCAGAGGCGTTTGGCGTCTCGAGGAACGACCTCTTGGCGGAATACTTTCATGTATCTATGCGAGGGGGCTGTTTTTAATTTTTTGGATGCAAGGAAAAGATCAAAGTAACCTAACTAGATTTCACAAATTGTTAAATTCCCTCTATCTTTCTAGCTTCTCTGTCGTCTACCTTACATTTTGACATTTTTTGATGGCCAAGCAAATAGATAAGCTTGCTGATTGAATGTTCCGTGAGCAAGTTATTATTTATCATTTACACCGTCTTTGACTTTGCTTTGAAAAGCCAAGTCATGCGTCACAAGTTCTTTTGATTTGCTAATGCATCAATTTACCTCTCTCTATCTTGAGGGAAACCCACGTTGACATCACGTGAACACCACAACAAAGTATTGAAATTTAGATCAATACTTAAGTCAGCACAAACGCCAGTTTCTTGTCGTTCTTACTGGAATGGGTTCAACAAACTTTCGCGTGCTTTGTGTTTGGTGACGTACAGTTATGTCAGAAATATGCACTTATGCAGTGTGTACGAGCTGAGTGACAGCAAGATAGAAACTTTCTTACCATTTACAATCTCTGTGTGTTAAATTATGTGCATTGATTGTTCATATCAGCGTGTACTCGTCTTTTGTTGGTTTGAGGCTTTAGTCACTCTGTTGAAGTTCAGACTCATGTGAGTATCACGTGACTGAAGCATTCATGTGATTCAGAACGTGACTCTTAGTCACGTAATAGATCACTTTTAAGACTTGAACGCTATGCGTGTTAACTTTTGTGGGTATTTCGCTGAAAAACATACATTCATAGCCTGCATAACATACGGAGAAGTGTGTCGTAGTCTAGAAAAAACAACACGATAGATGTCTGTTCGGAAATTTATAGCAGTTTTTGGACGTACAATTTGTACTGAACTTAGATTGAAAGTTTGAGTCACAAAGTAACTACTTGCACATTACCTAACGTTCCTGTAGTATTTTAGTTAACTCTACAACCAATTATCGGTGGTCATTTTATGAGATGGGTAAGACCTACAAATAAGCCTTTAAGAAAATGTTCCGTGCATTTTATAAGATGAATTTATCACTTGCGCTTTTTTCTTGTAAGTTTTTTTTTCAAAGTGACAATGGACTACCGTCAATAATTTATACTAATGCGCCGATCAATTCGAAGCTTTATTTAAGCCGGCTATTTAAAACAATCAAAAGCAATTGTCTGTCTAAAGCTGATTTTCACGTGACATCTTTAAATTTGAAACTCCAAAACTAAAGAGGCACGAAATTTTTATCTACATCAGGTTTAAGGGAGTCTAAATTCGTACCAGTATTGAAATTATCAGGTGTGATTTTGAGACAGAAATGTATGGTAATTCAATCTTAGTTGCGTAAAAAAATTCTAAAATTATCACAGGAAACGCCTCTGGGAATGTGAAAACCAAACAATTTGTCACGTTCCGATTCTCCTGGCCTGGTATAGACGAAGCAGGGCATAAGGGGGTCTAAGTTCGTATTAATATTCAAATTTTCTGGAGTGATTTTGAGAGGGAAATGTATTGTAATTCAATTTTTGTTGCGTAGATTATCACACTAAACGCGTCAGGGTATTGTGAAAGCCAAACAATTTGTCAGGTCGCGATTCGTTTGGCCTGGTAGAGACGAAGCAAGAGAGGCCATTATCAATAACTGTCGCACGTGTGTTTTGAATCAACCACTGAAGAGGTTCACGCCGCTTCAACCTTCAGCGTTACCCCGTGGTCCTTGGATAAAAGGCGCAGTAGACAAAGTAGGCGGGAAGTTTATTCTGACCTACATCGATATCCAGCCGCGGATGTGTTGCAAGAAATTACCTCACGCAGTGTCATTTGAGTGTTAACAAAGATATTCGTCAGATTTGGTTTTCCCGAAGAACTGATTTCCAACAATGGAAAACTTAAGATATGGTTAGCGTTTAGCGTGCAACCATCGAGTTATGGATGCCTGCAGGAGGCTGCTAAGCACGAAAGAAGCGTAAGAGTCGCACGAGGCGATAGCCGAGTGCGACTCTAACTTCTTGAGTGCTTAGCAAATAACCCAAATGCACCCATAACTCGATGGTTGCAAGCTGCATGCTAACCAATTGTTTTATAACACTGAGACTTTCAAACATCTATCGTTTCGTGTATGAATATTTATTGAAATTCGTTCTGTTTACATGCACAAACAGCGCGCGAAAATGTTCATTCAAAAACTGACAAAGCGACACAGCAACAATTTTCCTGAATCATTGCAGTGAAATAAATTGCGTTTTTTCGATCTCGGACTAACAATTTATTTAGTACAGTAAAAGAACAGACAACTAAGGCTTATAGGAAAGTACATTTTCAACAACTCACAAGTACAGTTTTGATTGCCGGAAGCATTTAAATGGTTTCCCACACCCGAAAAAGTTTTATAATGAACGCTTGTACAGAATTTTATTATTACTAACGCGCTGAAACACATTT